GTGGTAAGAGTTAAATTTTTTTTTTAGTTTGTTTGGTTATATATTTTGAAAATGGTTTTAGAATGGAAATTTGAAATGATTTGATATTTTGTTGTAATTGAATAGATGTATATGAGAGAAAAAGTGATTGATTAATATGTGAGAAATAAAAATAAATTTTGAAATTATTTTTTGAAAGTACGTTTTAAAAAAAAATATTAATTGTTATAATTATAATTTTTGTGTTATTAATAAATTTAAAAGAAGTGTAAAATAAAAAATTTATATTATTTTAGTCTTTAATTTTTAAAAATAGATTAATATTTTAAGATAATAAAAAATAAAATAAAAAATTAATGTTTTGAGACGAAAAAAATAAAAGAATATAAGATTTGTGGTTGGCTTGGCAATATAATCGGGTAAATAACAAATACATCTCTTGAGATTTGCTTAAAATATGAATTATCTCCTGTAGTTTGAAAAATTACAAATACCTCCCTATCAGAATTTTTTATTTAACAGAATTAATTAAAAAAGTAAAATTTTTAATTGTTCAACTATATAATAATAAAATTATCTAAATTATTAATTGAAATAAAATTTTAATATTATTAAAAACTGTTAATTAACTTGATGATTTATTAATAAATAGACCTATTTATTATGAAATTAAAAATTTTAAGAACATAATATAATTTTTAAAATTACAAAAATAATTTATAATTTAAATAAATTTTAAGGGTGTGTTTATAATTTACCCCAATATAATCTCATGATGCACTTGAAGTAACCAATAATTTTTCTAGAGGTGAAGCAGAGGAAGGCAGGTCATGGGAGCAGAGAAAGTGCCACGAATGGGAGGGACGTGGAATTACGTGACTGATTCTTTCAGTGAATCGGCTACCTGCCGATCAGTCAAAAGGAACAAATTTGCTCACAATTTTAGGTGGCGGTCCCTATCAAAATTTTTGAAACTCCTAATTTTAGTTGATGGAGCAAGGGTCGTGTGCTAAGAGGAACGTCGTTGATAGACTAGTGATACGAATTTTTTTATTGTAATTTAAATTTTAGAGAAATTTATCGGAAAGTCCCATCTAAGTAAAGTCCTATCTAAGTAAATTATGTTCCGTTTGGTCCTACAAATTTTTTGTTTGATTGGTAAGTCCATATTATAATGGATATCTTACAGTTTATTCCTTTTTTGAATTTACATTGTTATGTGAAGGACGAATATGCCCTCACATAAATTATGGGATGTATTTGTTTTATTTTAGGTATGTATAATCCCACGTTTGGTGAGGGAGGTGGAAGTGTGAGATCTTGGTGAGTATGTATGTTTTAGTTGATGGAGCAAGGGTCGTGTGGTAAGAGGAACGTCGTTGATAGACTAGTGATACGAATTTTTTTATTGTAATTTAAATTTTAGAGAAATTTATGGGAAAGTCCCATCTAAGTAAATTATGTTCCGTTTGGTCCTACAAATTTTTTGTTTGATTGGTAAGTCCATATTAGAATGGATATCTTACAGTTTATTCCTTTTTTGAATTTACATTGTTATGTGAAGGACGAATATGCCCTCACATAAATTATGGGATGTGTTTGTTTTATTTTAGGTATGTATAATCCCACGTTTGGTGAGGGAGGTGGAAGTGTGAGATCTTGGTGAGTATGTATGTATAATCCATTTTAAAGTTTGTGTTTTGTGGCCCACATCATCTGTGACAGTCCACCATTGCTGGGTTTAACGTCAACACCGTCGGCTTCCCACAGGGATGGTTCACATTTTGTATTTATGCACCATCGTTCATATTCATGTTCACGTTCACGTTAACCCAATTCTAAAAATGTGAAAACATTTAATCAAGTGCATGTAGTCTCATCATGGTTTTAGTTTTAGATATAGGTATCAATTTTTGTTTTTTTAGTTCTCTCTCATCTTCTTTTCCCATATCTTCTGCTTCTTCTTTTCTTTCTATTCTCCTTTTCTCTCTCTCCTCTGCTTTTCTCTTTCTAACCTTTTTTCTGTGAGTGATCCATCAATGTTCTACAACATATAAGTAAAAAGTATTTGCAGTAATACCTCACCATTATTCACGTTCACATTCACGTTCATATTTAAGCTAGATTCACGCACCATTGTTCACGTTCACGTGAACCCGTTTCACACACCATTGTTCACGTTCACACACCATTCTGAGTTCTAGGTCATCACGTCGTAGACATTGTTCACGTCACGTCGGATCAACTAGTCCACTACCATTATGCTAAGCCGGATTCACAGGAGACACCTCCGACCGACCAACCAACCAAACTAGTGTTCTTCACACCACAGCACTCAACGCCAAGTACAACCACACCACCTCTGATATGCACAAACTCTGGGTCAATTATTCCTTCAATCTCTTCCGTCTGTTTATGGATTATGTTGATTTGAATTTGTGAAATGTGGGGGGCAATTCCAACGATTACTAAGGTTCACGTTGCACCTAGCCACCGAATCGTCTCCCAATTTGGGGATGATTCCTATTTCCAAAATAGTTAAACAGGTCTAACCAATTTGATTTTCCAGGTCAACACATTTTCGAGTTCGGGCCATACAAAAAACCCGATTCACACATCCACGTCGTACTAGCTACCCAAAACCAATGTGGTCTCAGTCCCACATTAACACAATATCACTACTCCAAAACCTACTAGTACGCTTTTCTTGGGTATGTGAACCACAAACACCATCATTCCCATAAACACACCCCATAAATTCAAATTAACACATCAGTGGCAAAATTGTAAACAACCTGTCATAAGGGCTAAACAGTTTAACATAAATAATTTAGGACCAAATGAGTTACAAGATGACAATTTGGGATTTACTAGTCAATTCCCCTTAATTTTATTAATAAATTAATATTTTATAATCTTGGTAAAAGTAAAAATAATCTAATGGGAAAATTACTCTAACCTCCCTTAAGGTTTACCTTAATTACAGGAACCTCCCTTATAATTTCAAAAATAACACAGACTTCCCTTACTTTTGAAACTAATATACAAATAACCCCCTTTGTTACCCACCCGTCCAAATTCAAACAGATTTGGCTAATGTGATCCAAGATTATTCTTCAAATTCTAATACTGCCCTTACCTTTCCATACATATATATATATATATATATATATATATATCACTATACGGTTCTTCCCTCTCTCTCTCTTTTTCTTTCTTCCCTCTGTACTCTGCATCTCTCTCCTCGTTGTCCTTTGCTGCCTCTCTCCGCCCAATGCCGCCACCACCATACTGAACTCCTCCCCATATCGAACTCCTCTCTCTCTTAGTGATAGCAGATTGCGATGATGATCATGGCGATTACGATGGTTGCAGAAAGAGTAAGAGAGAAACAAACATATATATATATATATATCACTGTACGGTCAAAACCTTAGCCATTCTATCTCTCTTCCCTCTTACTCTCTATATGTTCTCTGCCTCTCTTTCCCCGTCGCAGACTGTCGCCTCTCTCTCTCTCCTACGATCCACTCTATTCTTTCTCTCTCTCTCTCTCTCTCTTCTGCGACCGTTGTTGCAAAATGATCTCTCATGCAAATGGTGATGACTAAAGAACCACCACCTCAACATCTCTTCCTTTGCTGTAGCACCTCATTTTCTGTCGTTCGCCGCCACCAAAGACCTTCACATCCCCTCCTCGAGGTCAGTCACTTTGTTCTCTGCCTCTCTTTCCCCGTCGCAGACTGTCGCCTCTCTCTCTCTCCTACGATCCACTCTATTCTTTATTTCTCTCTCTCTCTCTCTCTCTCTCTCTCTCTTCTGCGACCGTTGTTGCAAAATGATCTCTCATGCAAATGGTGATGACCAAAGAACCACCACCTCAACATCTCTTCCTTTGCTGTAGCACCTCCTTTTCTGTCGTTCGTCGCCGCCAAAGACCTTCGCATCCCCTCCTCGAGGTCAGTCACTTGCAGCACTTTCTAGAAAAAATTTCTGATCATTGAGGTCAGTTAGTTGATCACTGTACTAACTCCATGATTTCTCTTTTCTAATTCTCTCTTATAAGTGAATTTATGTTCGTCTTGTTGTAGTGAAATTATCAAATATTTTAGTTATGCTGAGGAATGGATCAATAGATTCGAACCCAACCTCTCCGCTTGTACAAAACCAAATCATCGTCAGAGTCTTCATCTTCGATTTCTCTTTCTGTTTGTTTCTTAGTCTTGTTTGTTCAGCAAGAACAAGAATCAATTGATTCAATTATCATCATAAACAGCACGCAAACCATCAACAGAAGTTAATGCAACTGATTTCTTGTGTGTGTGTGTGTGAATTTTTGCTAGTGGGTTTTCAATGTTGTTAACAATTAAATTTGCTGAATTTCTCACTTTTTCTCACTTTCACTCTGCAAAATTGACACGAAAGAGGGGTTATTGTTGGTTTGGGTTTTGGGTTTTTGATGAGAGAGGTTTGGAAAGAGAGTGTGAGGAAGACAATGACAGAAGGGTATTATGGTCAATTTCACTGTTAAGTTAGCATCGTTAAGGCTCTTTTGACGGGAAGGGAGTCTTTGTATATTATTTTCAAAAGCAAGGGAGGTTTGTTATTTTTGAAACTGCAGGGGAGATCCTTGCAATTAAGGTAAACCTCAGGGGAGGTCAATGTAATTTACCCTAATCTTATATAATTTTGTGTTTGAATCATAAATTTAAATAATAATTTTTTTAAAAAAAACAATGGGTGAAATATCTTTTTCTTTTTTCTTTATAAATATATATATATTTTAATGATTTATAAATATCTAACTAAATTTATGATTTAAATATAACCTAAATAATTATGGAGAGGGCAATTCAATATCGGGAAATTCTACTATACCACGCCCTTAAAGGGGGTATTATATGCACCCTTTATTATGTCATTTTTTTTTAAGCTATGACCGACTTTCTTCTTTAATTTTGATTCATGATATCTTTAATTATGCCTTATATAATGTTTGATTATAATTTTTTTTAACTCAAAAAGTATAAAATTATGACATTTTTTTCTTTAGTTATAAAATACATATGGTAAGGGATATGCACAATAATTTTTCCCTCAAATATCAAAATGAATGAAGTTTCCAATTCAAATATATAAAGAGACAGTTTTTTTTTTTTTATTCATAGTATAAAGAGACAGTTCAAGTCTCATGTAATGTAACTAGTGGGGGAAAAAAAATAGTAAGTTAATTCATTCACAATATGAAAATTATAGATATTTGTATCTAAAATTAATTTTATAACAAAATTTTAAAATTAATTTTCTATTTGAATTTTATTATTATTTATTTATTTATTTATTTTCGGTAACATACAGCATATGCATATATCTATATATATAAGAAAAGCTGCACACAGTTTAACCTTCTTGTAAGGCTGCTTTTGCCACCACATCGAGCCACTTTACATGTTGGGCTATTTTGAAAAGATGATTAAAAATTATTTTTTGTGAGAGAAGAAAGTGAGTTATAATCTGAGATCACTTCCCAAAAGACCCCATCATCTAAGACTAGGACAATACAAACATAATCTAACTTACTACAAAAATACCACCTTCACATTTTGTCTAGGGAGAACATGATCTAACTAAAATACAAAAATAACTTAAAGCTTGCAAAACATTTGTCAGGACCCATTCCAGCTTTTGTGTTTGCTAACTATATTATTTATTATATCAAAAATGATTCGTAACTCTAAATTCGTCCGGCTCGAATGGCCCGAACTGCCCAAAACGACGTCGTTTTGCACAGTTTTTTTTTTTTTTTCCCTTTTCTTTTCTTTCTTTCCTTTTCATTCTTTCGAACACAGACAGAGAGGGAAGAGAAGAGGAGAGAGAGAGAGAGAGAGAAGAGGAGAGAGAGAGAGAAGATGTTGCAGAGATCGACGGTGATGGTGTTTCTTCTTTTTCTTCTTCTTCTTTTTTCAGGGTTTCGAATCGATCGATTTCATCGAAATCGATAGATATGGATTTGACAAAATCGATGGATGTTGATGATGTTGATGAAGATGTTGTGATGTTGTTGTTGATGATGATAATGTGTTTGATGATGATGATGATGATGATGTTGATGAAGATGTTGATGATGATGATGTGTTGATGATGAAGATGTTGTTGATGTTGATGTTGATGAAGATCTCTATGTTGTTGTTGATGAAGATGTTGATATTGATGAAGATCTCTGTGTTGTTGATGATGAAGATGAACTCTGCTCCTCTCTCTGTGTTGTTGATAAAGATGAGCCCAGCTTCCTCTTTCTCTCTCTGTTCTTCATCTTTTTTCTTCATCTTCAAAGAGAGAAAAAAAAAAAAAAAAATAAAATCGACGTCGTTTGGACTCAGACCATTCGAGCCGTCTTGGTTTCGAGCTACCAAACGGAATTGTTGTTTTTTTTTTTTTCTTTTCTTTCTTTCTCTGTGCGTTGAAATACAGAGGGAGAGAAGAGACGAGGGGAGAGAGAGAGAGAAGAGAGAAGAGGAGAAGGAAGATCGAACCCCACGGATTTTCATCAGACCCAGCTCCTTCTTCTTCTTCTTAATTCTTCACCAGACCCAGCTCCTTGGTTCAGTTTCAGATCATCAGACCCATCATCATCATCAGACCTAGCTCCTTCTTCTTCACGGAGAAGAGGAACCGAACCACGGATTTTTAATTCTTTAGATCATCAAACCCATTATCATCATCAGACCCAGCTCCTTCTTCTTCACGGAGAAGAGAAACCGAACCACGGATTTTTAATTCTTCAGTAGATCTGGTTTTAAGGATTAAAGGTAATTTTTTTTTTTTTGTTGATGAAGATGATGATGATGTTGAAGATGATGAAGATGATGATGATGTTGTTGCAATGATGTTGATGATGATGTGTTGATGATGAAGATGTTGTTGATGTTGATGTTGATGAAGATCTCTATGTTGTTGTTGATGAAGATGTTGATATTGATGAAGATCTCTGTGTTGTTGATGATGAAGATGAACTCTGCTCCTCTCTCTGTGTTGTTGATAAAGATGAGCCCAGCTTCCTCTTTCTCTCTCTGTTCTTCATCTTTTTTCTTCATCTTTAAAGAGAAAAGGAAAAAAAAAAAAATAAAATCGAAAACGACATCGTTTGGACTTGGGCCATTCGAGCCGTGTTGATTTCAAGCTACCAATCCGGATTGTTATTATATAGAGATTTGTATCTCAAATTTGATAAGCAGAGCTGCTACAGGGCCCGAAATCTTCAGGCTCGAATCTGCCCCGAATCCAAAACGATGTCATTTTGGAATTTTTTTTTTTATATTCTTTTTTCTTTCATTTTGGAATTTTCTCTTTTGAAGATGAAAAGAAAACAGAAGCAGAAGCAGAAGCAGAAAGAAAGAAGAAGAAGAAGAAGAAGAAGAAATCAACATCTTCATGAACACATCAACTACAACATCTTCATCAACGCATCATCAACTAAAAAAAAAAAATCAGATCAGATCATATCCACTAGAAAAAGAAAAAAAAAATCAAAAATCAACCAAAAATCAACTACTCTCTCTCTCCTCTTCTCTTCACCTCCATTGCCGCCGATTGACCACCACCTCTCCCTCTGCCGCTGCTGCCCCTCTCTCTCTCTCTCTCTTCTAAACGCCCACCGCACCACCTCTCTCTCCAAAACCCTTCTCCTACCGCCTCGAATCTGGACTCTACCGACCTCTTCTGCATCATCGAAACCCTAGCTTTGTCGGTCACCATCAATTCCACGACTTCCCTCCAACAATCGAAGGTTTCTCTACTTTCCAGATCTCTGGATCTCATCATCGCTCAACAATCCGAACCTGTCCTCCGCCATCACCGCCACCGTCTTCTTCTCTTCCTCCTCTTTCTCTCCATCTTTTCTCCTTCTCCTCTCTTCCACTTCTCTCTCTCGCCTCTGTGTCTGGTCTGTGTTCCAAACCAAGAAAACGAAGAAAAAGAAAAAGAAAAAAAAGCAAGAAAAGGAAGAACAAGAAAAAGAAGAAGAAAAAGAAAAAAATAATAATAAAATAAAACTCAAAACGACGTCATTTTGGATCTCGAGTCAACTTCGAGCCAAGAATTTCGAGCCCTCAAACAATTTTCTTTGACAAGTGGTGGGAGATGTTTAAGTGAAGCCTCGTATCATATGTGATCCTTTCAAGTAAAAAGCTGATTTTGTATAATTCGAAATTAAAAAAACAATCGTAAAACAACCATAAAAATTAAGAAGAACCTGGCAAGTGAGGGTGTCGTTGGGTCCAATCCTGGCATTACCGTAAGGTATGAGCTTAAGATCGACATCGGAGATGAGTCCGCTTTCGAAGAGCTCAACCAGATCATTGACTATGAAATTTGAACAGTAAGGACACAGAGACTCGTAGTAGATTGCTAGCGTCACTTTGCTCTTCTCAGAATTTTTTACAGATTCTATCGACGAAGCAGAAGACAAATTGGGGAACAATATGGCAGCAGTGATGAAGAAGAGTAGCAGAAAGGAGAGTCTCCTCCGACGAGAATCCATTGGAGATTCTATTTTGGTAAGGCTACCTACCAGTCCACCACTAACCACACAAACACAATCCAGTTTTGTCAAAACGGTGCCATCAAACGGTACAGTTTTGACAACTTTTTTTTTAATTTTTTTAATTTTTTAAAATCGAAGATAGAGAGCTATACATTCACATTGAGGACAAAATTAATATTTAGTTGTAGAGGATATAAAAAAATATATAATTACTTATAATTCTCAATATCAAAAAATGTTTCACAATTTACGCAATCACTATCAGGTATTAATATTATTTAATTACTTGGTTTCAAATTTTCTAGATTTATTTTTAAAATTTGTATGATAAAATATTTAAAATTTTATGATTGATATTGTAAAAATTTGTGACTTTTAGTTACGATATTTGAGAAAATAAAGTTGTCACTTATGAATAAGTTAGTGAGTAGGCATAATTAAAATAATACATGAAAGGAATATTATACCTATAATTCATCATTTCTGATCAATAAGGTATCTCAATAGCGTAATAATTTATAAAATATTGTTACAAGTAAATATACTATATTATAATTTCACACATGCACAATTTATAGAATTCTGAGCATTTAGGGCATGTTTAATTACAAGGATTATAGCATAGGATTAGGATTGTTAATCCAATGAAATTGACGAATTTTCAATATTGAGAGGGATTGATGATCATAATTTTAAGTATGAAAAAAAAAATTGAATATATAATAAATGGTTATCTTACTAATTTATGGAATTATTAATCCTACACTAATTTATGGAATTATTAATCCTTCCACTAGGGTACAATAGAATGAATAGTTGAATTACATTCTTTTACAATAATTTTATTTATAATATATTTATAATTATTTTTATAATGAATCAAGAATGAATGGTAAGGGTGTAAACAATATACACCCTATCACAAAAAGTATAATTTTATCACAAAATTTCATATCAATCATAAAATACATTAATCTCGTCATAAATTGATGTAACAAAAAATTACAATATCAATCATAAAATTTTAACAACAATGATACATCCATCTAAATTAATGAGCTCTAATGACATGAAAAGTCAAAAAAAAAAAAAAAAAAAAAAAAAAAAAAAAAAAAAAAGACACAAACATCACTATCATAGTAGGACCCACACCCCATTAAAGCTATTAGAGCTCCAAAACATTTTTAAAATTCTAAATATTAATACCTTAATATTTGAAATCAAGTAATTAAATAATATTAATACCTTAATAAGTGGGTAAATTATGAAACATTTTTTGGTATTGAGAATTATATAAATATACTGTATGTACATATTTCAAATTCTCTATAAATAAATGCACAAAATTCAAAAAGTTGTGTGTAATTAACAAAGTGATGCCTTGTGACTGTAGACCTAAGTAAAAAAACAAAAAATAGGTCAAAACTGTACCGTTTAAAGGCACCGCAGTTGCTGGCAGTGGTTGGGATTATGACGTTTATGCATTTTTCTCATTAATCTCTCTTTACACCCACCGATGTGAGCGTCAAATTTTTAAATGCATGAAAGAAAGACTAGTGTAAAGAAAAATTCATTAGTTCTATATACTTTGTGTTGTAATCAAGTTGAATTACCCAGTTATTTTAAAGTTTGATTTGAAAATTTAATAACTGAAAAAAAAATATATATATATATATAAATAAATTCTATTTGATTATTTTGAGAGATATTAAACAAAGTTCAGTAAGTCAAGTTTAATTAATTAGTTCTGTACGGGAAAGAAATAAACCTTCTCGTATAATCCTGTTGATCAAGTCTGCGTTCCTCTGTACGTCGTCGCTTTATCACCTGAAAACACAAACGTGAGCTAGCCGGCGGATGTGTGCCGGAAACCTCTCCGATGCCTAAGTCAGTAAGCTTAACCAATAGACAAAAGTTCTATGTATTCAGAAAGCAAAGTTGTGTGTGTTACCTCTCCAAAGGTGATGTTTTGTGAGCTTTTATAGGTTTCGTGTGGCATAATCCTTGTAGGACTTTTACTTCTCCATGCAGAGTCCTCCTAGGATTCATACTCCTGAAAGATAATGCTTATCCTTCAACACCCCCCTCACTACTTAAACCAAGTGAGATGGTTTTATCATGGCCGAACTTCAATATGACCGAAGTAAATATGACTAAGCATAGCCGCAGAATAAGCCGAACTAGCTGTTCTTTTTACTGCTCTTACATCGGCTTCTCCTGCACAACCCATGGCGTGGTTAGGCCGAACTAACATGTCATGACCGGTGTAACTCCAAAACCGGTCTAATTCCAAAGTACCGTTAGATCGATCTAACTTCAATCTTCTACCGGACCGGACTAGCTTCACGGCCTTAGGACCGGACTAACTTCAAAATATCCGCACGACCGGAGTACCTTACATGGCCATTTCACTCGGCCCTTTGTACTGCGGCTCATAACGGCCCATTACCTAGCTCAGCCCAATTTTCACATAAATTACCCTCTCAATTGCCCCTTAATTCCATCTGCCTAGCATGATTGGAATTACCTGTCAACCAGCCGAGCTATAATTTTTAGCCTATCCAGCCGAGCTAAAATTCTTTAGTCTTCCCAACCGAGCTAAAACTCTTTAGCCTATCCAATTCGAGCGAAACTCACACCGGGCTCTAGCTGTCCGGTTGAAACGTCTCTTCAATCACAGTAACTTAATCGCTTCTTATTCCAATGACACGTGGCAGGCACTGATTGGCTTAATGCAACTGTCACGCCGCCTTCATACTTCGTGTTTTTTGAACAGTCCCGCCCAAATTTTGGGCTTTCTAACAAAAGCAAATCCTAAGGCAAAAATCCCTCCACTTCTACTTTTCATCATCTTCCTTTTCTCTGAGTTCTTCACTGTTCTTCGTCTTCTGAAAGAGTTCGTGTTTTGCTGCCTTTTGCTTCCATTCTCCAATTCTTGTCCCTTCATCTGGTTAGTATTGCCCCTCAATCTTGCTTTCCCTTGTTTTCGTACTTTGTTTTGTGTGTTTTTTGCAAAACACATTTGTCCGTTTCGCTTTGCTCTGTACTTTTCTGGAAAAAACTTAACAATAGAACATATGAATACATGTAATATCCTGTAGGAAAACTAGTTTTCGATCCAAAATCATGATGCAACCGAACTAGGACACTGTTTATGCTAGGTAAAAGTCCAGTTAATTTACAGCCGATCTAACACTTCATGTTTACATTAGTAGTGTTAATAAGTCAAACCACCTCTTGCGTTACCTCAGCCGAGGTAACCAACCGAACTAAGTTTGGACTTAGCATACTGAGATACCTGAACTCCAACCGATCTAGGCCTTCGGGGCTAAACCAGCTTTCTTAGTTTTTTAGACGGAACTCAGAAAGCTGCCCCTAGACAATCAACCGGTCAAACAGAATTGTTTCCACAATCGAGATATCGAGACGCTCGCCAAGGCCGAGCTACTAAAAGCCCTGCTCTAACCGAAACCGAACCTGTAGCATCCCACACAGTCAAAGTAGGACTTCTTTTAATCTTGCTTTTAATTTGTAGCACAGCCCAATGATCTGTGCTTAACACCTTTGTTCTTCACTTTGCAGACTTAGGTTGCCCAGGCACTCCTCTGCGCGCTCAACCGAGCTACTGAGCACAATTTTTGGACCGAACTAATTTATTCATAAATTATACCATAAAATGGGGAAGTATAGATTTTTAGTAAATACTCCGGGTGGTCTAGCCGAATTCCGAAAAGATTACAATATACCCGATGACGTCCACCTGATCTTAACCGAAAAAGATGTCATTCCTTGGGGCAATGAAGGCTTTGTCCCATTCACCCTCTTGTCAAATCGCCAAGCCGGTCTCAACCTCGGTCTGGCCGAAATCTTTCACCAATACTCCATTGGTTCGAAGGAAGACGGCTAGGTGTACTATCTCAGAATACGTCGCCGACGTGAGAAAATAATAAAAAACACACCGGATAAAGACTTGAATGACGACGATTTTTTCTGGGTGTCTGGGAACTTTGAGGATCATCAAGCCCAGATTCCTGGCCGACGTATTAACTGGAAAAAAGGAGAACCCGGTATATTTACTTCGGTTTTCTTGCGTGCTTTACAATATTTCAGTTTTTCAATTTTTCAGCCGAACTAACAGTTGTCTTCTTTTGTAGATTCTGCCCACCTCCACTCTTTATACAGCTACCCAAATCTAGCGACCTTGCGCGCCGCACTACAGTATCCAGAACGTAGTTGGGCCAAGCTGCTAAAGTTCGAGCCGACCTATAGATACAGCGGTCGCCGTAAAGCAAGAGTGACCGACTTTCTGCTAGAGGAGGCCCCAGAACCGGACCCAACCTTGCCAGAAAGCAGATTAATCCCACTGACCGCTGAAGAAGAAATGGCCAAGAGAAACAGAGTCAGGGCTCTCTTGACCGAGACCAATCGACCCGAGGTACCACAAACCGGTCAGACGACTGAGACCGTGGTAGCCCTTCCATCCCAGTAGCCATCCTCATCTCGGGCGAACAAGCGTGCCCGGACTAGCCAAACCGAGCAACGACTTGTTGACGAGGATGAGACCATTCTTCCGCCCAGCCCTCAACCAAGCCCTCAACCGGAGTACTCTGACCGAGCTGACTCCTCCAAATGGGCTCCAAGTCTTACCTTTCAAAATCGAGATATTCAGGAAACTGACTCGGTTGTTGCTGAGAAGGATCACTTGATGGCTTTCAATCTAGCCAAGAGTGTTTGCCTCCCAAAAGACATGGAGCACCACAACAAACAACTAAACACCGAGCTGAAGGCCATCCGGTCATCAACAAAATCAATGATCCTGGTAAGTGACTCTCCCTTTTCTTTGTCTAACTTGGGAAAACTGTCAGTCCGGCTAAAGAGAGTCACTACTCTTTTGCAGGCCATTCAGAAGAACAACATTGCACATAAGAAAGTGCTGGAGCTCCGCAAGACTACCAGGCAGGCCATGGCAGATGCCGAGGGAAAGACAGCCGAGCTGGAGCAAGCCAAGAAGCAGATAGCCGAGCTACAGTCCGAGAACGGTCGCTTGACCGGACTT